AGTATGATTTCTTCTCCGCTCCCACTTTCATTGAAAGCTCCGTGACCCGTCTATATAAAAAGTTCATAATAGGTTTAGTGGCATCTTTATTGATTGTTCTTCTTTCTTCTGTGATTGTCATTTTTTTAGAGGTATTAATAAAGGTGTGTTGAGCACAATTTTCTCTTCCTTGCTTGTTCTACTAGGGAAATTGCCAAAAGCTGTGCTTTCATAAGTTGAATTATGAGGATACAATTGGAGACTTGAAAACTAGATTCAAGTATGCTAAGATTAAGTCCAATAGATTTGGATTGAAGAGTGAGGAGATAAATACGATGGACAACAAGCATTTAAATCAATGTGTTTCCTTGAAGAAGCTTGCTCCTTATAGGGATAACGAATGGAAGATACTTAATAGCGAGGGGACAGAAGTCAGATGCTCAGAAAGTTGGTAAGGAGGACAATGGAATCTACTGAAAAACTGATATCTGGATCAGTTGAGAAGGGAGATGAGAAAGCACAATTTGCGGAATCAAATCAAATGGTGGCATGTCCAGTCAATCTACGCAAGCCAAGAGAAGTTGACGTTAAGAACTTATGTTATCAGTTAGGAGGCTCAAGGCATATGGAAAGATACATTCTAAACATAAGAAGAACAATATCAAGAAGTGACAACTGATGCAATTCAGCCGTTGGTGCCATTTACTGTTTAGGAAAGTTCATGAACCCTTTGTAATCTGTTTAGGTGGGTAAAGTACAATTTGAGATGAAAATTTTTGGGTTCAATTTGTTTTATTAGGTATATGTCGCATCTTTTTCATTTCGTTTAGGCAAAGTTTTCACAGTTCACTTAAGCAAAACTTAGCAAATTTGTCCATGTGAAAAGTAAAGGTTGCATGATTTTGTACCCAACAAATGGATCCATAACCAAGCATCAATGGCACTGATTGTTCATTTCTGAATTTCGATTCCTTAAAGCTTTATCATTTCTAGACAGTTGATAATAAGGTATTCTTGCTTTCATCTTTTCATTCTTAGAAATGCACTTCATTTCTAGACCACAAAGTTTTGTTAAGCAGCTGAGAACGTAGATCAGATCATCCTTGTAGTTGTAAGTTATTTACTTCACTCACCGGTTACAAATTAACAGGAGGGGTCTCTTTTAGTTCTGGCTATAAAGCTTATTAGTCAAGATAAGTTGACAGTGACATTGCATCCTGAAAAGTAATAGTTTAATTAGATGCCACGTTAGAGATTACGGAGGTCTGAAATTGTTAGACACCCACACCCTTCAAAAGAAAAGAGATTCTCCAGTTGCCATAGGTACCGAAGATAATAAAGCAGATAAAACTTCAAAAAATTGTTTGCCTTTAGTGAGTCATTGTGCACACAGGCACCAGATTCATGCATGAATTGCTCTATGTGTGGCCTTGGGTTTTGCTAGGAGTTTCTGCTGATGTTTCTGGGGAAAGTATAACAGTTTCTCTATGGCTATTCTTCCTTTATCAATTTCTTGCTGGATTCAAAACTGCAGAATATGAATTCTTCTTTAATCTGATCTGCAAATTAGATAATTACAAAATTAACTCTATTTCTTTTGCTCATTTGCTAGCGATTGAGAGGAAGGACCATAAGTGCGGAATTGTTTGCTTTCATTTGCATTTGGTGGAACCATATACATGGGTTGAATCGTGTTGAGGAATTACTCGTTAATTTGGTTGCTCATCTGCATATGTCAATAATTTATATGTAACTGTTCTAATCATAGCTACCACCGCATAATTTCTGCACTTTTATGATGTTTAATTTAGAGGTGTATATGAACGACATTCTGAAATCCTCTCCAGCTTGAGTACAATTTTCTGGAAATAAGTTGTGATAGGAGATATAAGCATGCTTCTAGCTAGTGAAACAAAGGGAGACAAGGGCATGCAAATAATTTTGGTATAAGACGACCAAACCAAGAAAAAAAAAAGGGGAACAGAAATTAAACTAAAACTTGGGCAAACTATAAATTGCAGAACATAGAGCTGATGCTGAATTATGTCTGTTTAGAAGATATGAAATGGCGAAAGTAGCATATAAATGGTACATGGTAAAGGAAGGAACTTGATGTTTTTGGATTGTTTTGTTCTCTGTGTACAAATGATTGTTGGAAATTTAGAACACGATCCTTCTTGTTTAGCTTTCTGTAAAACTTACATTTGTAGCATAAAATTTGCATCCATGAATGTTAGTGGCAAAACCGGAGGATTCCTGGCATGCCGCTGTTGGATGTGAAATGCATTACCGAACATATTCATGATCTTTTGGTGAATACGTTGATATAGTTGTCCAATTATACCATGTAATTCACCTATGGAAAGCAACATATACAATATGTATACAATTAATTGCGTGGATTCAGGGAGCAGTATCGATGCCAATGAGGCAACAGAGATGGAACCAAAGACTGTCATGGATACGTGAAAAGCATTAGCATATCTGGAAGAAGGAAATGCTAACTCAGCACCATATGCAAAGCTATAGACAAGCAAACTAGTCACAGCAACCATGGTAGAGGCAGGATGGGTCTCAAATGGTGAGTGTTTCTTTGCTTGGTATTTTACCTCAATCAAATCAATGAGGGTTGGAACAATGAACACTATAATGGCATGGCATGAATGAGGGGTTAGTGTTTCTTGTGCAAAGTTACATCTCAGAGTGTTAAAAGTGATGTTTAATGAGAGTTGTTGTTGCCAGCGTGCGAAGATGCTGCTCCATCCATGGGGAACAGAAGGCATCCTTGCAACAGCTGCCATTTCAAACTCTGAGTGCCTTTGCAGTTGAAGACACAGAAAAAGGTAAAGATGAAATACTCCTAGACTCAGTAAATTTCTTTGAGGTTAAATCTAGTACTGAGGTTAAATCTAGCAGGTAGTATATATAGGGGAAATTTTGACATGAGTTGAAATTTTTTCACCCACTTTCTTCGTTGCATCATCAAGATTGTTCAATGAGAATAAAGACCAAGGACGGTGTGTGCTTTGAGGATTGATTTTTATGCACTTAGTTTTTCTGTTCGATCAATGATGATTATGGGTAGATTTTTGTTGTTTTCAACACATTTATGCATAAAAAATGCAGATCATCGTTGCTTCAAACCGACTATGAGCAATATCATTAGGCCCCTCAAACCTTTCCAATAATAATTGAGGTAAGAAGTCAGTGAGTTCTTGATGTTTCTTTCTACTTACATGAATCAAATTTTCTCTCCCAAAAGGTTCTGGCAGTGCCATTCCTGGAAATGATGGGTGCAAAGGGGGCAGTCATTGTCATTAGCTTTCCAGGGTCTCTGAGTCTCTGAAGATAGCTAGTGGTGTACTTTGAGTTTGGCACTTTCTGTGAGTGGAGGAAAGAATTCTACATTCAGCATTAGTCATTAGATATTGAAAGTCTTTAATGGGCTCTCTATGAATGTCATGGAATATGCCCTTTGCTTAAGTAGGAAAAAAGGGAAGAACATGGCTTTTGTAGTTCTCCGTTCAAACAAGCCACAAGAGGCGAGGGAAACAAGTCAATTAGTTTTAAGGGAATAAAACCTTTTTGCTAGAAACTTGGAAGTTCTGCGATGAACTTATTTGGAGAGATGGGCAAATTATCCCCCCAAAATATTTTCTATCATCAAATAAGCCCTTGATGTAATTTTAGTGGCAAATTAGTCCATGAATTTTTTTTTTTTCCTTTGGGACATTAAAGGGTTAATTGCATGGTATTACAAAGGTTTGAACATCTGACTTTAACTCTATGTCAAGGTTCTTAAATTAGTAGTACCAACTTATCCAAGTTCTTGTTGATAGTCCATGAATTATAAACAATAATGAATGAGTAAAAAGTGGATGAAAAATTTAGCTCAAGTAGTTTTTTTTTCTTCCATTTTTGGCCCTGTGGTCAAGCAGTTTTCTTTTAAATTTCTTAGATCTAAAAATGAAAATGTGATTTAAATAAAAATTCACGCCATTTTTTAATGAATAAATGCTGCTACAGTGCTACTATTTTGCTACATCAAAATTTAACAGAAACTAATAGTTTCTGTTTATTTTGGAGATATTTGTTACTATTTTTAAATTATAATTTAAACGGTGGATTTGCTACCAAAGTTTCATTATAGACTTTTTTTGTAGGCAAAAAATATTTGAGAGGCTAATTTGCTTATTTTGTCAACTTATTTTGCTTTGTCTTGTATACAGGTTTTCGCTGGTAAAAAAATATCTTAAGGCTTCAAGTCCAAGTTCTATTTAATGCAGTTTTTTGTTCAAAATTATTAATTTTTTTATTTGATAGGTTATAAAAATAAGAGGTAAACCTTGCTTGCCCATTTCATTTTGGATACATCTAATTTCTAATTTCAAGAGGAATGGTATTCCTTCATAAATATAAATGATGTAGTTATAATTATATGTGCAATGCAATATATTATTATATAGTTAGTTCTTTTCACTTAAGAATTTATTTGTAATATTGTATTTATCTATTTATTTAACACATTAAGATTGTAAACTTAGAATCCAATATATCATTATAATTATAACATTACCGATAATATTACAACAAGTCTACATGTTCATTTGGGCCCATGAGTTTATATTGATTCCTATACTTAAAATTTAATAATTCATAATATATCTTCATAAAAAAATAATGATAATAATTATTCATTATATAGCTGTGAGTTGTGTCCACCAAATAAAATATAGCCGTGAGTACTCAAAAAGTTTGTGACAATGATCCCTTATCTTTACTCTCTCATTTTCTTTCATTCTTCCACTAATTGGCATCATAAGATCAAGACTATAATT